TTGTGGATATTCATGAATAGCCATTTGTAGCCATTTGAAGCCAGTCTGGTAAAAGATAGATGGTAATTGCCAAAACTAGCCGCATAGAGCCGTTTCAGTTCATAGACAAAGAAATAGTTGCTAATTATAAGTACTAGTCACTTTAAGCCATTTGTAGCCAATTCAAGCCGCCCGGGTTAGGAACAGATGATTATAGCCAATAAGAGCCAATCCAAGCCAACCAAGTCAAGAATAGATGCCTATAGCCAATAATATCCATTTGAAGTCATTCAAATCTATATAGGCTCCAATTGCATAAATTGTAAATAATAGTTGCTGATAGCCATGTATAGCCATTTCAAGCCAATTCAGTAAAATAGATACTAATAAGCCAATAATAGCCATTTGAAGTCATTTTCCATCATAATCACTGAAATAGCAAGAATTGTGAACTATATTCATGAATAGCCATTTGTAGCCATTTGAAGCCAGTCTGGTAAAAAATAGATGGTGATAGCCAAAACTAGCCGCATGAAGCCATTTCAGTTCTTAGACAAAAAATAGTTGCTACTTATAAATACTAGTCACTTTAAGCCATTTGTAGCCAATTCAAGCCGCCCAAGTCAGGAACAGATGATTATAGCCAATAATAGCCAATCCAAGCCAACCAAGTCAAGAATAGATGCCTATAGCCAATAATATCTAGTTGAAGTCATTGGAATCTGTATAGATTCCAATTGCATAAATTGTAAATCATAGTTGCTGATAACCAGTATGGCCATTTTAAGCCAATCTAATAAAAATACATGCTAATAGCCAATAATAGCCGTTTAAAGTCATTTTCAGTCATAGTCACTGAAATAGCATAAAACTGTCAACCATATCCACGAATAGCCATTCATAGCCATTTGAAGCCAGTCTGGTAAAAAATATATGGTTATAGCCAAAACTAGCCGCATGAAGCCATTTCAGTTTATAGACAAAGAAATAACTGCTAATTATAAATACTAGCCACTTTAAGCCAATTCAAGCCACCCAAGTCAGGAACAGATGATTATAGCCAATAGTAGCCAATCCAAGCCAACCAAGTCAAGAATAGATGCCTTAGCCAATAATATCTAGTTGAAGTCATTGGAATCTGTATAGACTCCAATTGCATAAATTGTAAATCATAGTTGCTGATAACCAGTATGGCCATTTTAAGCCAATCTAACAAAAATACATGCTAATAGCCAATAATAGCCATTTAAAGTCATTATCAGTCATAGTCACTGAAATAGCATAAAACTGTCAACCATATCCACGAATAGCCATTCATAGCCATTTGAAGCCAGTCTGGTAAAAAATATATATGGTAATAGCCAAAACTAGCCACATGAAGCCATTTCAGTTTGTAGACAAAGAAATAGCTGCTAATTATAAATACTAGTCACTTTAAGTCATCTGTAGCCAATTCAAGCCACCCAAGTCAGGAACAGATGAATATAGCCAATAATAGCCTATCCAAGTCAACCAAGTCCTGAATAGATGCCTATAGCCAATCACTATCCAGTTGAAGTCATTCAAATCTAGACCCGCTCCAACTGCATAAATTGCCAATAATAGTCACTGATAGACATGTATGGCCATTTCAAGCCGATTTGGCCAAGAACTGCCCATAGCCAATAATAGTAGACATTTGAATCCATTCATATTAAAAAAAAACACATCGTGATTACTATGTCACTAAATGTCACAATGTTCATTCTGAAGCAATTTAAGGTGATAGTGTTAAGATGATATGCAATTGCTAACAATAGCCACTTGAAGCCATTTTCATTCATAAGTATAGAATAGCAGAATATTGCGACCAATAACCAGTAATAACCATTTTTAGGCAGTTCGAGCCAACCAGGTCAATAACAGATGCCTATAGCCAATAATAGCCATTGGAAGCCAACTCAGCCTGCATAAAATCCAATAAGTCGAAATAGTGACTGATCATTGATAGTCACTAGGAGTCAGTTGGACCCCAAATTTCCCATAGAATTTATAAACATGATAATATAGCCAATAATAGCCATATGAAGCCAAATCAGTCTGCACACAATCAGGTAAGTCGAAATAGTGACTAATAGCCATTGAAAGTCTCTAGAAGTCATTTGGACCCCGAATCTGCCATATAAATAAAAAATGATTGTATAGCCAATAGTAGCCATTGAAAGCCAACTGAGCCTGCATAAAATCAAATAAGTCGAATTAGTGACTGATAGTGATTGATAGTCACTACAAGTCATCCGGACCCCAAGCCCACCTTATAATTTATAAACATAATCATATAGCCAATAATAGCCATATTAGGCCAACTCAGTCTGCACACAATCAGGTAAGTCGGAATAGTGACTAATAGCCAATGATAGTCACTAGAAGTTATTTGAACCACGAATCTGCCATATAAATAAAAAAATATTATTGTATAGCCAATAATAGCCATTGGAAGCCAACTCAGCCCGCACACAATTAAATAACTCAAAATTGTGACCAATAGTCATTAATAGTCAGTATAAGTCATTTGAACTCCGAATCTGCCATATAATTTATAAATATAATCATACAGTCAATAATAGCCATATGAAGCCAATCAGTCTTCACACAATCAAATAACTCGAAATAGGGACTGATAATCATGTACAATCACTAGAAGTCATTTGGACCCAAAATCTGCCGTATAATTATAAATATGAATGTATAGCCAATAGCAGCCATTGGAAGCCAACTCAGTCTGCACACAACAAATAAGTTGAAAAAGTGACCGATAGTGATTGATAGTCACGGAAGTAATTTGGACCCCAAATCTGCCATATAATTTATAAACATGATCACATAGCCATATGAAGCCAGCTCAGTCTGCTCACAATCAAATAACTCAAAATAGTGACCAAAAGTCATTAAAAGTAACTAGAAGTCATTTGAACTACATATCTATCATGACAAATTTTGATCAAAAAGCCAAAATTAGCCATTGAAAGCCAACTCCGGCAGCGCGCAATCAAATAACTCGAAATAGTTACAAATAGTCATTGATTGTCATTAAAAGTCATTTGGAACCGAAATCCGCCATATAATTAGGAAATAAAATCAAATATCAAATAATAGTCATTCAAATCCAATCTGCGACATAACATTACAAATATCACGAGATGGTCACCAATGGTCTCTAAAGTCTATCACAAATGGAACTACCTAATAAACAGCTGCTTGGTCTATATGCCCCGAAATAGCTTAGGATATTGGCCCAGAGCCATTAATAGCCCTTGGAAGGCAATCTAGTTTATACTCGTTCAAATAACTCAGAAATATAATCCAATAGTAATTGCAGTCAATTGCAATCAATTGCAGTAATTGAAGTAAAACCGAACCGGACACTATTTCTACTTCCTTATAAATACTGACTCTTCGTTAAACAGCCAGTGTAGCATTTACTGGCTGTAATTACTACGTCGTGTAGCATTTCCAGACTCATTGGAAGTGAATCTAATGCAATTTAAAATAATGACCTATGGAGCAATTACATATTCGAATTGCTGTGCTTCATTTCTAACTGCAAAGAGCCAGTCGTCACTACAGCTAGTAACAGCCATAGCCTTTAGAGTGGTCCATAAACTGTCAATTTACTAGAAAGTCACTAATTGGCAGTAGGTCTTTGTACCAGGTGTAATACATAGGTCTATATAATCTAAATACTTAGTGCTAATATGAAGCGCACCTCATTATCAGAAATACCTTGAATCAGCTCTTGCTCAATTGAAATCGGCACACCGATTTGCCATATATTCACAATTCCTGATAGTGTGAAGAGAAGAAATAGTGTAGTGAATGACTGTTTTCCTTTTAATTTCGAGCGCATAGTTTACCATCCCACACCGAGAGATGGCAGCACTTTTGTGTCTCCCGACAACCCCATGTATTTTGGCTGGAGTTTCCAGTATTGGTAGTCAATGGTATTTGGAGGAACTCTCCTGTCCCCGAAAATCTCTTTTGTGTGTCGCAGAAGTCGCTATCGTCCTCATACGAGATTATAGAAGATTACCCGTCACTCAAAATTCGTGCAAAAGCAGCCGCTTCAGTGGCTGGAACGACTAGGCAATCCTCTCGCGTCAGCCTCGCCATAGTTTTGCTCGTCTTGAGACGACCTACGTCACGATTGCGTTGAATGTCACGTGGTCTCTGCTGGGCTTTCTCCGAGGGCTTGCCAGAGTGGGCCGTTTATAACGAAGAATACAGCCACCAGGCTCAAAATACAGACATGCGATTGTCATTTACGGATATTGTGAATCGTATTCAACCTATTTTTGAACACGACGGAAATATTTCAAATTTCGTTGAAGTATCCCTTTAATAATAAGTCGAAGTAATGAGAAAGGGTAAACGAAACGTCAATTCAGCTAAAGTCGAGTGTGCCATTAATAACTCGAGGTTGCCGAAAGGGTAATCCACATGTTAATAGTGCGACTAGTAACTCCAAGTGATCGAAATAGTAGGGAGTTTTCGTAGATCGTTTTCGCCGTCCTGCAACGGCTCGCCGCAACCCGCTACGATAGATACCCCGAACTCTACACTCAAGGATATCGGCGCGCAGGCACAGTAGCGGCTTCTCCGTTGCAGAAGGCTTAGCGAATGAGGAAACGCGGTCTTCGAAAACTCCCTAGTGATGAATAGGTCGGTGGTCCCCAACAAAAACTAATTCTATAAATAATTACCCGAATTTATCAAAAGTGTAAGCGAAACACAACCACTGAAGACGAACGCGTGCACGCATATATTGTGGATTAAATTCACCAATCCAAATTGAATGGCACCTGGAATGACCACCCGGAATAAAATGAGCGGAAAAACTTGTAGATGGCTCCTCAGCAGGAACTCCACGGCTTAGGTAATAACGTTGACCATGACATCACGCGAAAAGATGCGTTTTAGCCAATGCCGGCCAAAGGCGGAGGCGGTGAGTGTCGCCGCGCGTGGCATGCTTGTGCCTGGTGCAGCCGCCGGCCAAGCCCCCTCGGCGGTCCGTGGCCCACTCGCCCGGCGTGTACGAGCAGCTGTGCCTGTCGAGCTCGGGCCGACGGCGCCGGCTCTCGTCGGGGGACTCGCGCTCGCCGCCAGCAGAGTACGTGGACATGCGGCCCAACCACGACGCCTCGTCCAGGCTGTGCGAGCTGAGCAGCCTCTACGACCAGGTGAGAGCAACGGGCCAATCAGTCAGAACAGAGCGGACACTCCTGAGAGTGCCTCTGGTTCCCATAACGGTTCCCTCCCGACGTTCTCCAGAGTTAGTAAACAGGATAACTGGGCGAGTTGGTATGGATTCATAATGGAACAGCGCGAATTTTTGCAAGGACAGAGGAAGGAACTGGACAGGACGAGCGCTGCCATCTGCGCTCGTCCTGTCCAGTGTTCTCCAGAGGGCACTTAGTGGCGCTCTTTGGCGAGCCTGCCATCTGCCGTGCTTAACGACGAGCACCGTGCTTGAGCCTCGTCGGTTGTTGTTGTTTTTCCCTCTGGTGGGACGCGGTACGCACTAAAGTAACTGAATCATGGGATACAGTGACTTTAGGGCATACTGATGACGGCCTAGCCAGGTGCCTCGGGAGCGTCCGTCTGTCTGACGGCGGCCGATTCCCGGGTTGCAGGCGGCCAGCGAGTGCCTGTCCGGCCGGCAGCAGCACACGCGGTCGGCGAGCGACACGACGGGGACGTCGGACGAGCGGCCGGGTAGCCTGTCCCTGGGCGCCAAGCGGGCCACGGTCCAAATCCCACTGAGCCCGAGCCACTACGCCCAGCCGCCCACGCCCGAGTTCCCGCCGCCGTCGCCCAGCACGGCCGAGTCCGGCATCCACGACCGGATTAGGCCGCTGAGCAGGGTACGCGCGCCCCGCGGAACTCCGTCAGGTGGCGTGGACGGCGGCCGTTGAGTCCTATCGTACGGGAGTGCTGGGTCTGAAATTTGGTAGCAATAAGTCGTCAGTCTCGATTTTTATTGATGACGAGGAGGAACAACTTAAAATATGAGATCTAAATGTAGCGGAAATCGCCGGTTCTGATGATCTCCTCTAGTCTTCGCGTCTTCTACTTTCGGAAGAAAGATTTACCTACTATTCTCTGGGCATTGCCTAGAATGCAGAAACGGCCATTTCCCGAGAGAAGATTAAATTTCCAATTCTTTATTTTTCTCCGCTGGGAGAGGGAAGGCAGAGAAAAAAACAACTTTGGTGTTGCTCGACAAGCCTCTGCCTTCTCCAGAGCAGCAGGGAAACGACTTAAACATACACAACATTCAAAATAGTGATACAAATGCACACGAAAATATTTATTAATATGTTAATGAATTTAAGGGCAACTTCGTTTTATTTTTGTTTGTAAGAAAACAATGCAGTACTCTTCAGTATCACATAGGAAGACCACACTTCACATATTACGACCTAGTTCTTTACAAAAATTATTTCGTATACATACAGCGTGGACGAAATAGATTTCGTAGCTGACTTTTTCTCTTGAAGCGTTAGCATTAGAACGCTCGTTTTGACGAAAACCCGGCGGTGTCCGTTTGTCAGTGCCGGGGAGAGAGGGAGAAGGAGGGGGAGAGGGTGACACATGCGACGCTCCCATTGGTCTAAAGCGCTGACATCAGCATACGCCAACCTCTCACTCTCTCCCCGGTGCTGACAAACTGACAGACATCGACGGGTTTTCGTCAAAACGAGCCCTTTCGTTTTCGTCGAAGTCGCGCTCACAGACGGTGCGGAGCCAGAGAGGAGGATGTGCCGCGGTGCGGTGGAATCCGGGCGTGCTCCGTTGCCGCTCTGTCGTCGCCGGTTGTTCTTCGCTCTGGGCTTCCTTAGTAGCGGTGCGTTGGCTGCGATGTGTGTGTGTGTAATTAAAACGATCGATGCGGTTCCTCCCTCGAGTGGTTCTTTCCACGAGTGATATGAATGACCGTATCCAAGGGTGTCGACTGTGGTGTCCAGAGGGCGCTACGAGCGCGGGGGCGGTGGCCGGACAAGACCTGGTGCGCACGGCACTTTTGAGTTGTACTCGACACGGAAGACGAGATCGAGATGTTCGAGCTTCGAGGGACACGTCCGAGGCCTCTGCAAGTAACAGTGAACGTGAACACGATTCCCCTGACAATGGAAGTAGACACCAGGGCGGCGGTGTCTGTGCTCCCGCTATACTGTTTCACCTTATGTTGTACCGCAGCGAAGGCTAGAAGCGCGAGCTCATAGCGTTGGCAGCCGCTTTAAGTCACGAGAGCTTGTGCCGCCGAGATGTGTCCCAGAGCAAGGAGCTCGCGCTTGCAGCTTTTCCTGCGGTACATCATAAGGTGAAACAGAGTATAGACGCTTTACACACGCGCCAATTTACAGCCGCCACTGCTGACCTTCTCTTGTCTTGCCGAGATGCCGAGCAACTGAAACGGTAGTTGACGATCCTCTACAAAGGCTGATGCTTTAGAAAAGGACCCAGTCGAATCTAATATGGTAATAACCTGGCCTGCTATGAAAATGATGAAGTGAAATAAACGAAATAAGAGGAAACAAAAACTGAAGGTCAGTTATGGCGGCGACCATGCACAGCTGCTGCAAAGCGTCTATAGAACTGTACAAGAAAAGGCTTCCTAATCTGGTCAAGGAAAGAAGTGGAGCTGTTCTTCGAGCATTTACGGGTAACAATGTGAAGCCGGTAGGGGAGGCGCAGGTTGAAGTGGAGTACCAAGACCAAGTTCACAAGTTGCCGCTGCAGATTATGGACTTCAAGGGTCCCCCGCTTTTGGGACGTGACTGGCTAGAAGTGCTGAGGCTCGACTGGACTAGCATCAAGGCTGTCCAGTGCTTGGAGAAGGGGAGCAAGGAACATGGTCGACAAGCTTTTGAAGGACTTTGCTCAGGTGTTCTCAGACGATCTGGGCCGCCTTCAAGGGATTGAAGCTCACCTAAAACTGAAGAGTGGGTACACTCCAAAGTTCCTCAAGCCAAGACCAGTGCCCCATGCCCTGAAGGCAGCAGTCTCTAAAGAACTGATGGCGCTGAAGGATGCAGGGATCCTGACCCCGGTGGACAGCAGCGAGTTTGCATCGCCCATCTTGCCGGTTGTCAAAAAGAATGAAGACATAAGAGCAAACTACAGAAAAGGAATGAAAAAAAAATTACACCAAAGGGGGGCGTGTGTGGCGTTTCGCAAAAATCGTGCTCACGCATTCCCTTAGAATCCATTAATGGATCTTCCTCTAAATTTTCTGCCTGTATTTCCGTTTGAACTCGTGCACCCCGGTCCCAGGGTTTACCACCACGTTTTATATGCACCAGCTCGCCTGCACTTTACGTATTTTTTTCGTCGTCGTCCTTTGCGCGCTTACCTGTCACGATAATAATGACAAAAAAAAAAAAAAACTATAAAAAATGTTTGGTCTTGCCTCGTCGCGATTACCTTCCATCAAATGGTGATCGGAGCTTACCTTATCCAGTTTCTTTTGTCTCGTCCGTGACAGCCAAGATACTGGGTCGTGAGATAGAACCGGTTTTTGTACGCGCGCGCACTTCGACGTTATCACGTTAGCGGCTCTTGACGTCGCGTAAACAGAGTTTAGAGGACCAATAAAGCAACGCGTCGCCTAAAAACAAGTGAAAAAAAAAAAAAAATAAAAGCTTGCAGCAGAGCTGCCTTTGTATTGTTCCGAGAGATGCCACAAGTGCGGTTTTGATTCGAGGCGAGGCCGCATCGCATTCCGCATATGGTCGTCGCGAGCTCGCCCAAGCCTCTCGCAGTCAGTGGTGCGTTACAGGCTGCCGCCTGCGTCGTCCCGTTGTGGTGTGTACGTTTACGGTAACCCGGACCGCTCGATACGTAGTGCTTGTGCAGCTTGGATCACTCGTTATCGGAGCGGGCCTGGCGGGCGGTCGCTCTGGCGACGCTGATACGGGCTCGCTCGTTCCGAGCGTGTAGCCGTCGATCTTCTCGTCCTTCGAGAGGCTTTTTTGCGACGCGGAAAGAGCTTTTTCTCGCGGACATTTAAGTGCTTGGCCACGCCGTAACTGGCCACAGAGGACTGCGGGAGTGCGTCGGTGAGTGGGCCATTTCTTCTTTCGCTGCCGCAGTGTTTGTGGTGGGCTTAGTTCCACAAGCATGACGACACCGTGTTTGCATACCGCCCTCGCAAAAAAAAAAAAAAAAAAAAGTACGAAAACAAAACAGCTTTGACGTTTCGAGGCATTCTCCGTAGTGCCACCTCGTAAATAAAGCATCGACGACGTGTAAAAAGGAAATGGAGCCTCGAAAATAGAAGGAAAACAGCTCGATCCTTGTCTGGCGCATTGGGAAGTGACGCGGAACTTGGCGTGACGTTCCGGGCGTCGGGAATCGCTTAACGCTCGATAACCGGAATTCTCGCTGCCGTCGTACGCGGAGTTTGGCGTGCATGTCGTCTTCCTCGTTGTTCGCGTCGTGGTTGAGTCAGCCGACTGCGCGAGTGAGTGAGCGAGCGGGACAAGGTCGCGCTTATCGACCGTGGATGTTGCTTCTCGCGCCATGCGGGGTGTCCATCAGGAGTACGTGGTCCAGCGTCGGCGGCGGCTGGGCAGCGTCGGCGGGTCGGTGGACGGCGGCCGGCGGAGCTCCCGGGACGCCGACACCCTGACCGACGAGGACCCGCTGCTCCAGCTCAACGGGGGGGACCTGGCGCCAGCGGGGAGCGTCGAGGAGATCGTCGAGGAAAACCCTTTCGCAGGTGGGTCTCTCAAGACCAGGCGTGTGGACCGGAGTCGTCCCTGACCCGGTTTCTTGGGCTTCGGTGCTCTGCTCAGCGGGGTTGGGTCAGATAAGCGACCGTTCTTCGAGCTGCCCGCTCGTGCCGCGCCCACCTCATACAAAGATCTTTACAACCTGGTATTTAGAAAAAAAGAAAAAAAAAAAGAAAAAAAAAACGTTTTTAAAACGCGCATTGTATTAGCCTTTTTTTATTTTTTTTTTTTTCGTGAACGATGCGTAGATTTGTTGACGCTGGCGTGCATGTATACTCCCAGGTTCCCGAGCGTCTTCCTTTAACTTGACCGTCGACCGTCTTTTTAGCGCTTTTATCCTATGCAAATACAATGAATCACCAACTACCTGAAGCATATACATACCATTATACAGTCACTGAAACTCTATAATGGTATGTATATGCTTCGGGTAGTTGATGATTCATTGTATTTGTATCGGATAAAAGCGTTAAAAAGACGATGGTCACGTCAAAGGACGGTACAGGACTGAAGGCGCCGGCGGGGAAGACCGGGCTCATCGCTCCGTCACCAGTCAGCGACATATTCACCCCGAGCGAGTACACGATTGACTCCACTTTTCTTTTACTTTTATATCGACAACAACCTCTCTCCGAGAGGGTGTGCGTAGAGCGAGCCAACCGGGCTCCGCCCGTGTGCGATCATGAAAACCCCGTCGGGGGCCATCGCCTGCCGGAAGGTTACCCCTGCGCGTCGGGCTTCCCCACGATGAGTCGACCTCGTCTGGCAAGGCGACGGCGATGCCAGCGAGAGTGCGAGGGGCACTTCCGCTCTCGCCGTGGAGGAGAAGGGGCCCTTCGAGACGCTGGCGACGGCAACAACCGCGGCAAGAGGCCTCCCGCAGCGGCAGGGCGGCCAGGAAGGACCGAGGAACCCGTTTCGACCTTGGCAGCCTCCCGCCAGCCTCGACGTCGTCATGGGGCCAGCGACGCAGCAGCCGGCCGTCCACGCCGTTGGATGTAGTGCGAGTCGGTGTTGTGTGGTGTTTCGGCGCTGACTACTGGGCCGCGTGCGTTACCCGATTTGGAGTGCGGGCCCGGAACGGCGAGCCCGATCCCGTTGGGCGAGGAAGCCACGGAGCAACCGCCCGTCTACCTGTTCACCTTCGACGACGTCGGCATGGTGTTTCAGCGCTGGGGTGGGTGCCTGCATGCCCGCCCCTTCCTCGGGCACGGTCGTCACCGGCGCGTGACCGGGGCGGCTGCGCCCTTCTTGCCGCGGCTGCCTCCTCGGACGCCCCATTAGGGCCGTGTGGGTCGCGGCCCCTGTTGCTGCGTCGACCCGAGGCCTAACGCGCGGACCCGTCAGCCCCGGGGCGTCGTCGACAGACTGTCTCGCCTCGTTAGAGCGGGCGGGGCTAACGAGCCCAGTAATTAGCGCGTCCCGCGGCGAGTGACCGCTGCCGCTGTTGCTCGTGTCGGGGCCGGGCTCGCGTGGCGCCGACGGCCGATCGTTTTGCTGGACGCAAACAGCCGGAAAACGGCCTCCCCCCACCCCCCTGGCAGTCGGGTTAGAGTTCGGGGAGGGCGAGTGGGGTTCCAGCTCCGTCGTCTGATTGGCCATGGCTTAGAGGGTGCCACGAGTGCTAGAAGAAAAGGCAGCCAGTCGGATTCTCCGGCAGCCCGACTGTAGCCTGTGTTGCCCATCCATACTGTAACCCAGTTGCATTCCCGAAGCAGCCAACCCGTAGTCGACCGGATTTTCAATTGGTCGTGTAGTAGTGCATAGGCTAAACCAGGGTTTCAAAGTGTCTCTGCACGAACACGATTGGAAATTAAATTTCATCAGAGGTACGATGTGGGGATGTGCATTTCTCTAGTTTACTCGCAAAGAAAAGTAATCCAACTAGGTATACTCGTCACCGAAGAAAAACTGTAGTGTTATATGTAGGTCGTACACCGCACGGAGTATCTATAAGGTTTCGTTGTCGGAGTATAAAAATCATGCTTTTTGAGCTCAAAACATGCGCGTCTTGATAAAATAGCAGACGACTGGTCTCAAATGCTTGTGCAAGTATCTTAATTCACTGCATAACAGAAGAAATTGGCGACGCCCTTCGAGGAGCAAAACTGTTTACTATGGTACCTGAGGAGAAAGAGAGTATAGTGCAGTGTGATGGCTAGCCTGTATCATTCGTGCACATCGTGCAGTGTAGTGCCATGAAACCAGTGAAGTTTCTCCTGTGTGTCAGCATCTTCTGGGTTCATCGCTGTAGATGCACATTGTCAAGTGTGCACCTTCGAAAACCTCTCCAAAATCATTGTGGTATACGAGCTGCACCTTTAAAAATATTTTAAGCACGACGGCGTGTCTACTGCGCTCGTCGCGCAGAATGTCCGAGGAGCTCGTCTGACGATGTTGCAAGGAAGCAAATTTTGGTTCACAACAACACTGTGGCTGTGTTCCAAATTTTCCTTGAATGGATCCAAATTACTCTGGCGGATGGCAGATCATGTCACATGGTAAGACAGATAGATCAACACTGGGTGCGGGTAGGTGTTCGAATGCCAAGGTACGGAACCTTTATCCTAGAGTGAGATAGAGTAAATTTTGTAAGACTGCCGGTGTGTAGGCGTCTAAAAAGATGAATCTTGTGCGTGATCAAGCATTAACCCAGGTTTCTCAGAATAAGCCTATTAAAATACCGGTCATTCGGCATGACAGTACAAGTGGATGTAAAATTGATGACCTAGCTAGTGCCCATCCCCCCACCATTTGCAATTATCTAGACATTTTGAGTTGGCGCACCTGCGGTACTTAACTACAATTGATTCCAGAGCAAAGCATTCCTCCAGCTACGAACATTCTGGTGTCATCTCGACGGCAGGACTTCCGTATTCCGAGGAGCGCCACAAGACGAAGGAGCGGTCGTGCAGTGTGCCACTAGTTTAGAAAATAGAATTTCTTCAGAACCAATGCGCTCGTCGAGTCTCCATTCCGCTTTGCTCGACGAGTTTTTCACGTGGCATCTCTCGCTCCAGAAGTTTCCTTCATTGTGTCGGCTCTGTCGAGTTTCTCTTTAAAGGGGCGATGCAAGAGTTTTTGTGCTTTCACTAAACACCGCTTAAAATTATTCATTGACATTCATAACATGTGGAGCATGCATTCATTTTCTTCTCTCCATAAAATGACAATTAAAAAAAAAAAAAATCTTGGAAAAATTAATAGCGCTTATTCTTTCAACTTGCAGCCAGAACAACTGGGCACTTGATCTGGAGCCGATTATAAGCCTCCAATGTTTGTCATAGCCCCGTGCCGGGGTAGGAAAAGCTCCAGGCACATGCAAAGTTCCACATATTTTAAGGTTCGGCTATTCCCCCCATCGCAGCGATTGGGCATGAGCCACTACCCGAATGCAGGTCGAGGCATTGATTGTCACAAGCCCAAATTGAATGTTCACACGGTGCTCATGTCCTCTGTATGAGCCGCTTTTAAATATCGTCACCATAGGGATTGCGGAGTTTGATGGCTAAATCCCGGGTATCGCATTGCTGACCACGTCAACAATGCGATCCCCACAACCTCGCCATGAGGCTTTCCAAAGGAGAGATTGGTTGAAAACATTCTCTTTTATCCTCAAAATCGCACGGCGACAAGGAAGCTCTCCGTCGGTGGCGTTGCGTTGGAGTATACTTGGGTCACATTAGTGCCAGGAAGCTCGTGTAAAGTGGGAAACAGTCCTACTCAGTGGCTTTGCACGGTCCCTAAGACGACGGCGGTGAGTCCGAAAGACGAGCGTGCGTTTTAATTTGGGGCTTGCCACACGCAGGGCTGTGTCGGGGCTCCAGCAAGACGGAGGACCCGCCGACCCCCGCCGTGGAGCCGGGCAGCAAGCCCCGCCTGGGGCCCAAGCCCGCCCCGCCTCCACGCAGGCGAGTGCCACCCGTGGACACCGGTACTGGGGTGCGTTGCTTTCGTCTGCTTGCCGCGTAGCTCCCTCGCATTGGTACCGTCCGATGAGGTTCTTCCGACGATTCGTTTCATTGACTGCTTTGTTGTAGGCCTCCTTAACGTCCACGAGTGTAGGTTTTCATTGCACAAAAGGAACTTGATCTCTTGTACCGAAAGCTGAAAATAATAATTTTGTAAAACTTGGTGATTTGTTTTTCTGCACCTCGCTTTTATTAGTCGTTTTGTTTGGAGGCAGTTGACTCGGATGACGTGCCGCTCACTGTATTTTTTAAATTTTTTTGTTCTCTTTGTAAACTTTTTGTTGTGCAAGTAGGAGGGAATTGTTGACAACGTTGAATATTAGTACAGTTGATGAAACATTGACGAGACGTTCTAAGTGCAAAATTCTATGGCCGTGATAAAGCTGAGTGTCTTACGGTAAAGCGTTTAGTTCTTTCAAAGCAATGCTTTGCAAGGAAGAATTAATTGGAGCCGTGGCAAAACCTCAGAATTTTGTTTCTTTAGACTGCTCCTTCGCAACAACAACTTTTACGCGAGCCAAGAAGACAAGTGAAGAAACGAAGGTTAGAAATTGTGAACTGCCATCTAGACTTTTCAAATACTGTTACCTGGTGGCGATCGTGGATGCAGTTTGGCGCAACGGCATGCCACTGAGAAGAATTATTGCGATTGTTCACGCTTGCCTAGCTTTTCTTAGTGTTACCATGCCGCGTCAAGGTTGCCAGCTCACTCTATCGGCAGCCTCAAGCGACCGTGGCATCGGCCCTTGCGTCTCCGGCCGCAGTCGTTTCTCGGAGGCGATCCGGCTGCTTTTCACCGACCCGAGCTTGAGACTATAGTGCCCAAAGCGCGTTTCCGACCGGTGCATTTAGTGTCCCGTTTCCCCCCACGCGTCGGAAGTGGTCTTGAAGTGGCAACAAATGATGTCACATGGGTCAGAGTGTCACGCTTTCGGATGTTGCGATTCCGGCGGTTGGTCGTAAAAAGTACTGGCGAAAATCACAAGTGAGTGTGAGTGTTGCAATAATTGCAATGTCCCAACTCCTCGCTGCGGAAGCTTCCGTGGGTTATCGAGCTGGAGGGCGACCTGCTGCAGAACGGACATCTGCCACATCCACGCCCGCCGCTGCGACATTGCCAGGGTAGCGGCAGGAAACAAAATAACGCTTTTGTGACACCATCGGGTGGGAATAGAGAGACCGCTCCTTTGGCGGTAAATGCACCAGTCTGAGAAGGGCTGCAGGCACCATGTGCGAGATGTCCCGTATGTTGGTGGTTGGTGGTGACGGTCCTTGCCACCGCCCAGAACTCCCACGGGGACGGCGAGACTGCGGTGGAGCCGTCGCGACAGCAGCCTTCCAGTCCGTTCGACGAGAATGCGGAGTGGGCCGAGATCGCCGACATCATGGCCTCGTTTGGCAGCGGCATTGCCCGGGAGTCGGTGTTTGCCCGCGACATGGAGGAGGAGTTTGCACGAACCCTGACGAGGCAGAAGAAGCAGACAGGTGCGTGCAGCTGGCGTTGGCCCCTGCCGAAGGGCGCCCTGCTGCTAGGCCAGACCGTCCCTCGTGGGGCGGCGAGCTGGCACATTGTCCGCGACATTCCGGTTCCCACTCAATTAATGCGATGAGAGAAATTGGGCTCGACAACGTATTCGTCGGCGTGCCGTCGTAAAAAGAAATGCTTTTTTGTTATTGCCCGCGTTAATTGATAGAAACGTGTAACTAAGCTTAGTGCTATCTGGAGTGAAAGAAGTGCAGTTAGGTGCATGCCCACGCTCTCGTCTCTCAAAAAAATAAAATCGCGAGAACCCCACATTTTTGTTTGTTTGTAGCTTCCCGTCAGCATTAAAACTTTCTCTCGACTTTCTAAAGGTTACCTCACCTGTCAAAAAAGATTCCTCGGGAAGGTGAATCCTCTCTTAGAGGGGGGAATATCAAAGATCCAAAACGAAAAGTATCGTCGTATGCATGAAAAGATGTGTCCTTTGGGCGCCAAAACGCGTTCCTACTCCTTGTATGTTTCGTACTGGAAGAGTGTTAGCCTCCTTTCAGGGTTTTTTGCGGTGCTCACGGAAGTGCCTTCTCTGGTGTCGCGCAGCTCCGACCGAGGACGGTCTGTCGTCCGCCCGGCCAGAGACCATCGACCAGTGGCTGCTGGAGCTCGGTCTTCCGGAGTATGCCAACCTACTCCTGGTGAACGGCTACGATGATGTCCGCTTCTTGGTACGCTCTTCAGCTCTGCCCGACTCAAACTGTGCAACCAGGCCGGTCCTCCGCCCAGAAAAAGGCTGTTCGAAGCGAGGGCCATGTCTGACTAGTTTGACTTTCACATACTACTGGGAGCATTCTGGTGGCACAGTACAAGGAGCAATATTTTAAGTATAAATAATACTGATGTATTTTTTTTTCCACATGAAATGTGCTCTACCTTAAGTGCCGTTCACATACTTGCAACCGAGTTGGACGGAGAGAGACAAGAGACGACAGAGGTAGTGGCGGATTCAGAGGGGGTGTGGTCCGGATCTCCTGACCCCCCTCTTGAATTCTGCATATGTAAAAATTTAGGGCGGGGGAAAAGGAGGGGGGGGGAGTTTTCAAACATATGATACGCTGACCGCTCCCCTTCCCCCCTCTCCCTCTGGAAATACCTGCGTCTGCTCCCGGATGGAGGACCTGCTCCGCAGGAGGGTATTCGGTGCTCCGCCATCACAAAAAGCTTAAAAACCTGTCCTGTCTCTCTCGGTTTTATTCGGTTACAAGTGTGTGAACAGTGCTTTAGTTTGCGGGTGTGCTTAGGGTAGTCCTGGCGCACATTTAGGGTAAAACTACTGGACAAGACTTTGACTCGAGTCGATTTGAAAGGGAGTCCAGATTTAGCCAATAAACTATATCCAAATTATTTGTAAAGATATCTCCTTTATGCACCCGACCTCTGTGATAAAGAACATGGTTTTAAATTTAAAATGTATCTTCTCATGGAGAAGAGTGCAGCCAGCAAAATTTCGGATGTCTCCCAAGTTTCACGATGCATTTTCCATCGGGGGCCCACACCAGCACTGAAAGAAAAAGCTTGCCATAGAGGGTGTTTGTTTATATACAAGAAGAGGCAAAGGTGGACTCATTGTTTTGTTGTCGTTTCAAGACCGGTGAGGTTCAGCAGCACCTCTGTTCCCCAGAAGTCGGACACCTGATCAGTGCACCTTTGAAGGGGGCAGTAAGGGGATTTCCGAGCTTGTCTCTTTGGGTCAATACCTCAATCTGCGCACTCATCCTGAAAGCCCGAAATTGCAATTGTGTGTGACTTATCTGCCATTGAAAACACTGTCGTGGATTGCTGCACACCACTTTCTCGTAGGAAAGGGGGCACCCGATTCTGTCTGTGTTGGGTCAAGCTATACTTTGCGTCAGCATTTTTTGTGCGACCTTGACAGGGCTAGTACAGTTCGTGCAGCACTCTGAGAAAATATCGTAAAACAAATAGAGAAGGGAAGACGTTTTTTTTCTTGTCCGTGGAAGAGAGAACGGCGCAGCCCCTCTTATCCTTTCTTCCTCGGTCGTTTGAGGTCGCAGCGCTTCGAAGACTGCTCTGGCCTTGCCAACGTCTTCCTGAAAAGTTGACATGTTCCCATTATCAGGTGCTCGAAACATAAAGTGCCACTTTAGAGTTTACCCCTCTAGGTAACTCTAAGTAACCTAGAGCCTCTTCCTCCAGGTAACTCCAAGTAACCTAGAGTTTGCTTCTCTAGGTAGGCTAGAGTCTACTCCTCTGGTAGCCTGGAGTCTGGTGTTCTGGTAGCCTAGAGTCTGGTTCTCTAGGTAACTTAGAGTCTAACCCTCTGGATGACTCTGCTGATGAAACCTCTTTGGGCAGGGTGGAGGGCTCGTGGAAGACCAAGACCTCCTGGATATGGGAGTCTCCAACGCGGACCACCGGCGTGCCATGGTGGAGTCTGCGGCGGAGCGGCTGCCCCGCGTGCCGCAGCTGGAGCCCGGCTCAGACCCCGGACTGGACGCTTGGCTCGACTCGATCGGACTGGCCTGCTACGCCGAGCGCTTCCGTGAGAACGGCTTTGGTTCCGTGGACCGCTGCCGGCTCATCTGGGAACTGGAGCTGAACACTGTGCTGGAGATCAGCAAGCTGGGTCACCAGAAGCGCATCCTGGCTTCGCTGGGCGAGCGTGCTCCGAACCGGTTTGCGGATCTGGACGACCTGGACCTCGGGCTGTCCAAGCTGGTGAGGATTCTAGGGATGGCGCGAGCAGCAGAGTGCATGTGGCCTGGGGCTCTCGTTGGGAATGTTATTGTTATTAGGGTTTAGGGATACTTGTGTGCACGTCATCTCGCTTCCTTCCGTATGTGGTGAGTGCTTTTCTTTCGAAAAGATAAGTCTGGAACAGGTAACGTAATTTCTGATGTCCGACGTAGTTATTTACTATGCATGACTGGTTGTGCATGCACAGCTGTCGATCGGCTAGGTAGAGTTGTTCGTTTATGTGTATTTGTCGAATTATGGGGCAGTGCATTTAACAATTTTGATTTCTGTCTTCGGAAGACTTGCATAACGTGATGGGTGCAATTCGCCTTCGTAAACTAGGCTTGAAACTCGACAAACAAGCTCTTTAAGATCTAGTTGGACACACTTACCATCCCGGTTCCTTTCCCCTTTCGAAAACAGGTCTTGCTCGAAGCCATTACTGATGTTTAAAAGCTGGCTGGACGGAAATTGCTCGCACATCACCAATTCAATTGCACTAAGTACCGGGCACGTGCGGGAAGGAGTGTCCGACGGGTCGTACGATGCGTCGAGCCACCTCGGTATTTCTGAGGCGAAGAGCCGGTCTTCGGATTCACGAATGGCAAGGTTGAATTGCGGCCAAGGTGCCCGCTATCTGGCAGAGGCTATTTGTGGAGAAGGCGCCGTAACCGACATTTCGGTTGCACGCCAAAAAATATTCAGTGGTGAACTAATCCTCAGTCCTCCGCTTGAGCGTGCCAGATGCCCTTCGTTAATTTAGCACTTACATTCCCCCAACTTTTTTCCTTGCACGATGCGTCGGAGAGACGTTTGAATCTGCCCAGGCGTGAGCCAATTGCAGCAACATGCACATTCACGCAACGCCGCTGTTAATCGGCACCCGGCTGGGTTCAACCATCTCTTCACCCACGTGTCCAGCGCGTTCAGTTAATCGGGCAAACGGACGATCACTATTTTGATGGGCACTGCCGTACCTATTGTAGGTGACAGAAGTCGCAAAAGATTTCGCTCTCGAGGGTTTCTAGTAGGCCGGAGAGAAGGATGAACGCCGAACGGAAAGCGTGCTATGGATAACTGCAGATATGGCATAACGTGGGCTCCGATTCACGTCCGATGCCTCACTTACGCGAGCGTTCTCCACCACGATCGACTCGACTACTGCTGGCCGGCAGCGGCTCCGGCCGGTAGCGACTCCGGCCGGTAGCGACTCCGGCCGGTAGCGACTCCGGCCGGTAGCGACTCCGGCCGGTAGCGACTCCGGCCGGTAGCGACTCCGGCCGGTAGCGACTCCGGCCGGTAGCGACTCCGGCCGGCAGCGACTCCGGCCGGTAGCGACTCCGGGTCGTCTGCATGAAACTGCGTTGCGAGGCAGGAGGTGTGACCTCCATGCAACCATGGTTCCTCGGACGCGTTTCCGAATGGTGCATTTACCGCATCCAAAAGAGCGGTTCCTTGATGTCTGCCTAACGACGTGATAGAGGTGGCACGTCGTCGCCGGATGCAATCCTTGCAGTGCTACAAAGCACTGCTGGATGTGGCAGACGTCCGTTTTGCTGCGGGTCGCTGTCGAGCTTGACAGTTAAAAGAAGCTTTGGCAGCCAGGAGTTGAGATGCCACAATGTCGGCGGCACTCACGCTTGCTCGTACTTTTCAAAAAACTTCTACGACCAACCACCAGGATCGCAACATCCGACGGCGTGACACTTTGGCTTTTGTGATGTCATATTTTGCCACTTGGGGGCCACTTTTAATGCATGGGCAGAACGGGACGCTAAACACATTAGACAGAGACTCATTCTGGACTCCATAAGGCAACCGTGTCGCGTGCACTCACTTCAGTTCCGGACGCGGTTTCAGAACATGGGCCTGCGTGAGCTGGGGGTGGAGGAGGAAGACCGGCCGCCCCCCTGTGCTCTGCGCATCCGTCCCCCGACGCAGCTGATGAGCGACCCGGGACGGTCGCCCGCGCCCCTCGGGGGAGGGGCCCCGCCCGCCGCCCAGTGGAGGCACGATCCCGAGCTGCTCGTCCATGGCTGCTGTGACTACACTGCGCAGGTGAGTGACAGTTGGGCATCCTTTTTGGTCGGTGGCGGCGATTTCCAAGCCACCCGTGTGCGCCCGTGAGACAGGCTGCAATAAGCGGCGCTCGCGCGTGGAGCCTCGGACGCTCGACGAATGTCTGGTTTAGCTCTCAAATTTTGCCGTGGTGGTTTTCAAGGCGTGGTTCCGTTCCTGCGTACGGTGGCAACAAAATCCTTTCGAGTTTGGCGGCCAAATCTCAGTGCGACGGCCGGGTTTGACATTCAGTCTCTGGAAGGATTTTCGGACGTCTCAATCCTTTAAAACTCTGGTTCGCTCGAAGGACGGCCAAGAAATCAGTTTTTCCCGGTGTTCTCGCCCTGGAAGACAAAATTTGAGCTTCGAAACTTCCTTATTAATGACCTAAATCTAATGTTGTAAGTAGACCCCAACGGCCCGTTGTTGCTTGCCGGTAAAATAATTAAATTACTCAAAGACATTTTTTTAGAGCGCAGCTCTTAGGGGCCCGTTTCCGGTTTGAGTGGCGTCGCCGTCGGTGTATGTGCAACGTCACGTGACCACCCCAGGTCATGTGACCCCCTGAGGTCACGTGACACCCCCCCCCTGAGGTCACGTGGTCGCGTGACCCCCTGAGGCCACATGACTGCCTGAAGTCACGTGACCCCCTGAGGTCACGTGACTGCCTGAGGTCACGTCATTCCCATGAGGTCAGGTGGTTCCCCTGAGGTCATGTGACCCCCCTGACGTCACATGACCCCCCCTTCCTAAGGTCATGTGACCTCATGGAGTCACCTATCCCTCAGTACGCTTCCATCCTCCTCCTCAAGAGCTGCACTCTAACCGGCGTTACAGTGAATTGTAAACGACTCATTTTTTTCGGTATAAATAAGAAATTACTCTGCCCGCCAAGAAGCTCCTCTTGGGTGCCCGGAAGGCTCGAGCTTAAATGGAACGACGAGCAGAGTCACGCTTCTTTCCGTTGCTCTATGCTAAACTATGCTAAAGCTTGGAAAGCAGTTTACTGAGGGATAGCGAAAACTGAGCGAATTTAGGCCTCTTGGAAGCTCCCGCGGTTCATCTTGCAACTATTCGATTTCCGGGAAGAACCTGCTTTGAGAGCTTGCGGCGTGCATCATCGGAGCTATGCTGCTAGTGTCTGGCCGTGCGAAGGTCGCCAACTATGTTTTTGGTGCCAGGGCCCGAAATTGTCAAGATGAGTGGAGACACGGCTCTTGTTCTAGTTAGCATGAGCGGTACTCGCTCCCTTTCACCTTGTTTCGATCGGTACCCGATCAAGTGTCTAGCAGAGTAAAACTGTGTCAAGCTGGCTAGTTACTGGTAGTTAAGAGGAGACAACAACCCTTGTTTGAACTGTCGGCGTCGTTCTTAGTGTCCTCCTCTTCTTCCAAGGTGCTTGTCCTTTGCCCGTCTTCTTTGCAGTCATCTATAGTGACCGAGAGGTCGAGAAGGGTGGGGCGTCTCTCTCGCATGCTTGGCCTCCAGCACAAGCTCTTTGCATTCCGACAGGCTTCGTCTCGTCTCGTGCACGGTTGGAGCGTACACGAGACATTAAAGCGTTTTCGAAAGTCGGAAATTGTCCGGCTTCCTTGGCGGGAAGCCGGACAACTGAAAGGTCTCCCTGCCTCTCTCATCCCGCCAATGACTATAGTATGTCGCAACGAATAGTTGCGGACACCCAGATCCTTCTGCCTGTCGCACGTAGAGTTGCGCGCAGCGCTGGTCTCTCCTCATTCGACCCATCTCCTCCTACAGTACCTGGGCTCCACGCTCGTCAAAGAGCTCCAGGGCACGGAGTCGACTCGCCAGTCGATCCACAAGTTGAAGGCATCTACGCGCAACATCGGCAAGATCCCCAGCGTGCTGCTGTCGGTGTCGCATCGCGGCGTCAAGTTTGTCGACGCGGTAACCAAGGTAAGTCGTCGGACGAGGAGCCGACCGTTTCTGCGGGCTTCCTTTTTTTTCTCTCTGAAGGCTTTCGCGGCTTGACGGGATCTTTTCGAGTGCAAAACTTAATGTGGGTATCGCGTTTTTGTTGTTTTGTGCAATGGGAACGACACTTGGCTCGACGTTGTTAACGTATTAGTTAATGCGAAAGCAAATTGATATACCTTGGCGCACTAATCGATATCCGACTAATTATTGAAAACATTTTGGGGGGGTTTCGAAATATAATTACCGTTATAGTTCACGTATTGACAGCAATGTCTGATGAAATGTGGAGAAATATTTTATTTATTTATTGTTGAAACAGTTACTAAAAATTGAGGTTTCTGCAGTTGGTTGCACCATCGAAGTACAAGCTCGTTCCCCAAAATTTGTACCACAAGGGTATCTTTTATGTAACTGAGCCGCTACGAGTGTTCATTCTGTGGGTGCCATTACAGTACATTTCCTTCACGTCCCTCATTTACGTTAGATTCTGTTACAACTTTTCGTGCAAGTCGTTTGAGCAGAATGCGACATCAGAAAGCAGCGAATACGCATGGATTTTTGGGCGCATTAGTTTAAGTTCCTTCTGCTGTAGCTACAAATCTTATCATCTTTCGTGAAATCTGTTATTCTATGTAATTACCTTCTAACGTGACGATACAGACATCGACGACTTGAGAACTGTTCACTCCCTTCCTTAGTAATTGGTTCTTGGGCATTCTTATCATGCAAAACCACCCTCTTAATAGCTGTGGAGCCATCAGGAAACAATTTGGACTGGCCACGCCCCGCATTTCTTCGGCCGTCGGTGACCGCAGAGGTCCGACGAGGCAGGCGACTTTCGTGCCGAGTCTTTGAGTTCGGACCGGCCAATAAGAAAATGGGGTGTTTCTGCAGCGGCCGGTGTGCGAGCACGAGATCCGGAACATCCACTGTGCCTGCCAGGATGCAGACGACCTCACCCACTTTGCTTACATCACCAAGGAACACCAGACCAACCACCACTACTGCCACGTGTTCTGCGCTCAAACGATGGTCAGTGCCCTGGCTCCCTTTCCGCCACATTTTTCGGATCTGGGTTCGCCTCTTTCTGCCCGCCTGTAGGGTCGTGCCAGCAGTTTGGCAGTTTTTCTTGAGTTTCGCGAAGGCCACGAGCTTATGCCTGTGGGCAACTGCAGATACACGTCTATCCTCTCTCGGGTTCTCCGTAGTCGTTACGAAGTATTCAATTAATTGTAATGCGCGTTTAGCTCGTAGTTATTTTTATTTTGTCGTTGCCGGGCGCACCGTAAACACCTCCAGTGTGGCCTTCGGGCCTCACCTTACGTGTTTCACGTTTGCAATCAGCGGGCAGTTTGGTCGATAGCATTTATCGAAGCGGGGGTTTTCCCTTGGTTGGGTGTTGTTTTTTAAATGTGTCGTAAAGTATTAGTTACGATAAAATCCAGTTTTGCATTAAATAATAATGAAAAGAAATATCGGGGAGGAGGGCCCTGCATTTTGAACGAGGGCAAGAAGTGCGTTACTCGAAAGGTGGACGGAGGTGGCGGCAGCCCAGCCACCGGCCCCCATTTCGGGGGCCCCTGCCTGACCCGTGTCCCCCCGCAGGAGCTGGCCACGGAGATCATCCTGACCCTGGGCCAGGCCTTCGAGGTGGCCTACCAGCTGGCACTCAGGGACCGAGGGGGCCTCCAGGAGGCGCCGCGGGCACCTCCGGCTTCGTCGCAGCGCACGTGACAGTTGTCCACGAGGTTCTGAGAACCTCTTCGGGCCACGGAACAAAGATGCGGACGGTTCCGCCTCGTCGGGGGCGTCTCCCGTGCCCCCATCCCCGCGTATGGGCTCGCGCCAATCCGCCCGATTGCCGATTCACGTTGTCTTCGGTTCCGATCGGCCTACGGGGAGTCGCGGAGTTGGTTTCCGCGGACCAAGAGCAGTGCCCAGGCAAGCGGTTGGAGGAGGCTACCCCGCGCGATGGTGCACTACGCCCGTGGCGATTGTCGTCCCGCGTCCTCTTGCCGCGTCACGTCGCTGCGCTTTGCCGTTGCACTCCGAGGTCACATTTTGCGTACGCCTTTCCTTCGTTCGAAGCGGTGCCGCCTGGGACGACGCTTTAGTCGACGGTCGCTTAAATTGACGCCGGAAGTAGGAGGCACAATTTGATATGCGAGTCGTTTTAAAGAGGCAACTGGGGCGATGCAATACCACTTAGTCGAGTACAAATTAATGTTAACTGCGCCGAGACAAACCAGAAGCTACGTAACTTCTCTAACCTACCTACCGTTACGGCGAGGACGAAACAATCTTCTTCAAGAGGGTAGTTTGCCGAGCGGCACTCAAGACGTGCATGCATAGCGACGGCAGTGCAACAATGCCGTCAGATCCCGACAACAATCTGACGAACCCCCCCGTTACTGAAGGGCTTTAACCCCTTAACCATTTTTAGTTTTGGGAAATTTCTCACTCTCAGCTGTGCTGTCTTAAAAATGACATTTGTTGCCTTCAAAACAAAAGTTTTTAGCTGCAAACAAAATGGGAGAAAAATTTAAGAACATTTCAGTGCTGCCATTTGTTGGCAGAGGTGCAAACTAAGCCACGAGCAAGCCCGGTTCGTCCAAAACGGTTGAGTGCGTGAATTGCGAAATGTCGACGAGCTACACACTGACCCCGAACGGTTTGGGGAGGGCTCCGCATTGACGAGCTAGGCAAGTCCAAAATGGTTAAGGGGTTAAGCAACCGTTTGTCGAGCGGTCACTTGGAAGTTGGAACTGCACAGCCTTTTTTTGTGAACGAGGTTACCACTTGGTGCAGTGGCGTAGCCAGGACTTTTCTATGACTGCTGTTTTACTTCTCTGGTAGGGTTGGAGGGAGGGAGGAGATAGAGGTAAAGAACAAACATATTCACTTTTTTTTTCTTTCTATACTACCTACACTGAAAAAAACAGCGTGAAAGCAAGAATGTACATTTGGCTGCTACAACAAAAACTTTACTATGTGACTGGTACAACAAATTACGGTAGTTGGAGTTATATGTGACTGGTACAACAAATTACGGAAGTTGGAGTTATTTACTGTTTTTTGTTCACAAGCTGGGTATCGTGAAAGGTGCTGGCAGATTAAATGCACCAGTAAGGAAATAGCGTTGCTCCGGAGCCAGGGGAGAGCAGCGTGATTTCACTAAGCACCTTTTTCACGAGGGTCCCAAGGGGTTCGAGAAAGGCCCCCATGACGTGTGGAAAACTTCAATGTCCAGGAGGTGGACACACCGTTGTCCACCTCCTACAAAACGGAGCAACTCGGGCTTAGAACAATTACTCTTATCGGAGGTTAACGGTTCTTCGGAAAGGGAAAGGAGTGAAACTGTGTTCGACTAGGGCCATCAACTGAGTTATCCTCCCATTCGTCCTAGTCTTTTGGCTGTATGGATTAGGGCTCTCGCTGAAGCGGACAGGGTGTCCACTTGCATGTTTTGGTAGATGCACAAAAAAGAAGAAAGAAATAGAGCAAAAAATTTGGGGAGTGTTTTGACCCCCTTGGCTACGCCCCTGACTCGGTGGGCGGCCGGCCGGAACGTCGTGCACATTAGGGTCGATTGTATCCCGACAGGGCATGACGTCAGAAACTACCGTTTCTGACGTCACGCAAATGTGGCGGCGCCGGCCGTTGAACGGCTCAGGATATGCTGTGCTGGATGTCGGGATTACGTTCGCCGGCCGTTTGTGGGCGGTTCTTCCGAGACCTCCGTTTTCCAGGAGGAGAGGGGGACTGCTTTGCCGGCGTTCTCCTTTTCCTCCTGCTCTCGGTTCGAGTCGACGAAGAGCGATCGACGGTTCAGCTGGAACTGGCATCGCAGGTTCCAGAACTCGCGGCCTCGATCGGAAGCCGCCGCGAGCTAGGACAGGCGCGACGCTGCTCTGGCTGGAGGTCGCAGCGACGTCGCACTCTAGGCCGAAACGACGAGTGTCGCGGGTGATTGTGCGTGGCGTCGCGAAGACGGTGAGCTTGGACCACGCGGCCGGCTCGACTGCTGGCTGTCCGTTCAGGGCGTCCTCGGCCGCAAAAGCCCCTGGCTTCTGAACCGGTCCGACTTGCGCGACAAACACCGATTGTTTGCCCGCCGACAAAACACAACTGGCTCTTCCGCGGTACCGGCTGTTGGCACACGCGTTTTATCTTTATTTTTTGAGGAGGGGGAGGGGGGTTTGTTGCTGATGCTTGAGCGTCAGAGAGGAGGCCGCTAACGAGACGCATTTGAGGTGCTTGGGGACAGTGTTCGTTGTTTGTAGCTCAATTAGGGACGAGGCCGTGAATACCACCAACCAGTGCCGGACCTTTGGTGAGGTGACTTCACCGCTTCGGTGCAACGTCGCGTTTCTGATGCGGTGAAATGGAACATGCTCACGTGCGCCCCTCCTGCGTTTGTACGCATGCTCGATGCCCACGGATCACGTGACCCGATCCGCTCGTTCGTAAGCGTCGAGTTGCGCGGCCCTCTGTCGTTCCTCCCCCGCCCGAGGGGTCCACCCCGCGACGGCATTTAACGACGGGGCCCCCGCGTTGTACGGGTCGTTGCCCGTGTGCCGCCGCGACGGTGCGCGGTGGTCAATGGAAGATGAACACTCATCCGGGGCTCGGGTCCGTCGTGTCGGCCCGAGCGCGACTAGTCAGTGGCCGCTGGCGTGTCCGCGGCACAAAGCTTGCTCGGCGACGTGGTCGCCGCTGTACATAACGTATCTCGACACCGCCATCGGAGGCGCCTTGCGCGTCGTGCTGCGTGGTCGCCCCCTTTTTTTCTTTTTTTGAACTTACACGGTAATAAAGTGGACGTCCTTCGTGAGCCCTGTCTTGTAGCGTGGTGCTGCCCTTTTTGTACCTGCTGTGGTGTCTGAGGCGTGCGAGAACTTCCGAAGGTTCGCGCGGGTCGGTTCGAGAACCTCGAATATCCTTAAGGTTGTTTCTTCCGGGGGTTTCGCAAACGAAGACTTCAAATATTGAGGGCCTCCTGAATTCGGTCGTGTCACAAAAGGGGCTCTGGGACATTATCGTTGTTTTTATTACAAGAGGCTTTGAAAGGAACGAGAATGAAACGAAAATTGTTTGTTGTCCTGTTCCCGAGTTGTTTCGAAAACATCCCTCAAAAACGAAAGAAATAAAAACCTTAATATCTTTCTGTCTTCATTCGAGCACAAAAAGAGATGCCGCGGCACACATTTGCGTTTGAGCGCGATGCGTTTAGTTACGGCAGGCGGCTGCAGAACGTTGCGGAGAGCATTTCCGCGGAGCTTGTGCACATAGTTGGGTGCGTTAGCCTTGCCTGCAGAGTCCCAGATCTCGTAGCAGGTTAGGAGAACGTTGCGGGACAGCGGAAACCATCTACGAAAACTCCCTAATTAAGTGCAATCCACGGCAACGGGGCGCCCGGCGACAGCATCGGGGTGGCCGATCTCTGGGCGATTCCCCGTCTTCTGGTACATTTGTTCAGCTTGAACCATCGCTGTCTTGGGTGAGAACGCTCCCGTGTCCCCACCGCTCCTAGACGAGCAAAAGGAAGATTTTGGGGAGTTTTCGTAGATCGTTCTCGTCGTCGCGCAACGCCCTCCGCAACCCGCCACGATACAGCCAAGGCCATCGGCGCGCAAGCGCAGTAGCGGCTTCTTCATTGCAGAGGGCTTAGCGGAGGTGGGAACGCTGTCTACGAAACCTCCCTCTCGTCTCCTTTTGCTGACGGGTACGGGCGAGCACGTCACCCTTTCTTTCTTTTCTCGGCTTCTGGTTGGTCTACTGAAACGCACCGCGTTGGAAAGTTGGTCTGCTCTCTTGCCTATACCTCATGCAGCCGCTTCCTGCCGCAAGAACGCTTTTCCGCATTTTAACGCGTTCAAACGCAAATGTTATCATCATGGGCCGGTTCGGCTACAACAAGCGTAAGTTTGCCCATGTTCTAAGTACAGCTACGGGCCAAGGCACAGTGTGCGACTCTGTTATAGTCCGTTGCAACTCAAGAAGGTAGGGCGAGGGAAAAGAAGGCCGGGGAGGAGGAAGCAGACGGATCGCTGGAGAAAGGAGGAGGTTTCTGCCCTTCTCTCCAGCATTCCGTCTGCTTTCTCCTCCCCGGCCTTCTCTTCCCTTGCCCTACCTCCTTGAGTTGCAACGGACTGGCGAACGGGAACTCCAAATTCCACTAGCGGCACTAAGAAATGGCGGCGGAGCATCCGTTCGGTGCACGTGTTTTGCGCGTTCGCAGAGCAGTACTTGGCGGCACTTGTAATGCCCGCGTCCCACTAGAACCACAAACACCCGACATCGACAGCGACAAGCCTAACAGCGCGTGCTGCATGCACACGAAACTATCTGGCAGGCTTGCAATTACTTGTGCTCAGTTCACCAGCACCGAAATACTGCAAGCTTGCCAAAGCTTGCCGAACGTGTGCTGCACGTGTTTGGTGCTTGTCGGTATCGGTTGTTTCTGTTTGTCGCTCTAGTAGGACTGGGAGATAAAAAACGCGGAGAGTGAATTTTATCGAGGGACTTTACGTTCCACCACAGTAGAAATTTGAACGACGGCTTTTTCAGTCGAGACACTTGAGAGAAGCGGGAAAACCCGGTGATGGGGCTTGTTCGCGCTAACTGTGCCGCGTTCCGTATCCCCGGGCTACAAAATAGGGAGTTTTCGTAGACCGCGCTTCCCCCTCCGCTAAGTGTTCCGCAACGAAGAAGTTGCTACTGCGCCTGCGCGCCGATAGCCTTGACTGTGGAGTTCCCGCTATCGTAGCGGGTTGCGGGCGGCCTTGCGAGACGGCGAAAACGATCTACGAAAGCTCCCTATTAAGGCCGCAGAAGCGTTGAGGTGGGCGCTACGAACTCCAGAACATCACTTATCGATAGCTCAAACAAATAACCATAATTTTGGAGAAAAAAACAAGTGTGTTCAAGCTAGGAATGTGACGTCACGATTATTTTCGAACAGTTGAGAATGAGGGGAAGCGGTTTCGCTTCTCTCCTCCTCGCTTTGGTTCACCTGCTCGAGGGGACGAAGCGAGGAGGAGAGAGGATGGAGAATCGTCACGATCACATGTCTTGTCGGCCGTGTTCAATCGCGCACTTCTTTTCCAAAAATACGGCCGTCCGTTAGAGATATCGTAGTATGAGTGATGTTTTTTTGTGTTTTGCAGCTTCCCGCCTATCGCTTTAGCCTTGTTTTGTGAGCTCAAAATTTCGGTTCCGCGTCTCCTTTAGTCGTGGTCCCACTGCTCCTATATCATAAAAAGGGCAGTGCTAACAAGAGTCACCTCAATATCCTTGGTTCGAATGCCGCGTGCCATATTGAACTCATTGCCATGTGGCATTCGAAGTACAGATCTCGCGCTCGCATCTGTATGCAGGCTTTCATATGACGCATAAGCAGTGTGGCCCACGGTGACTCTTGAAACGCGCCTCCTGCACTGCAGGGTTGTGCTTTCTACTCAAGGACAGCTTTCTGTGGCTGTGCAGTCAAAGCCATATAAGCACACGCGCTTGCGCATCTAGATCGCCTATCAAAAGCTGCACACGTGCACGCTTCAATTCCCCTGAAATGTCACAGAAAGTTATTGCGGGCATCAGGCAGGTAGCCAGGATTTTGTTTCGGGGTGGGGGGCTTAGCCCATGACAAAAGGCTGTATGAGGGGGGGGGGGGGGGGAGGGGGGAGAGGAGGTCCGCGCGCCGTATTTGCGCCGCCGTTTAACTAACCGTTTGCTGTTTCGTTGAGATGCCCAGCCAGCGAAATGGGCAGGGGCAAATCAATATAGAGCTTGCTTTAGGGTACAAGAACACTGGCGTCGTCTAGAAGGTCAACAACCTGTCGTCAGACCACTTTGACGAAGTGAACGTGATATAAGAAAATAAAAAAAGAAATGAAGGTCAGCTATGGTGGCGCCCCGTGTACAGGTGCCGAAAAGCGTCGATAGTATCGCTAATCATAGAACGCAACGTACAGTACGCGTAGCCGTTTTGAACAGTTGCACCCTTTCTCTTTGGTTTCGGTTCTAATTGGAGGGAAGCGATATCACGGGATAACGTTACATACTACAGGCAGCCCAACTATGGTGGCGGCCCCGTGTGCCTGGTGCAGTTGCCGATAAATGTTCAGCTATAGCTACCAGCCTCCTTGCCGATGTGGTCTTCGACTGGACAGTCTGGTTAATTTTGTTTTCATCGACGGAAATAGGAGTAATGTCAGATTCTCAGTTCTGACGGTTTTGGAATCGGAATGTAAAGTTTCTAAGCTTCCACCAGACCAGTGGCGTACCAACCTGTTGAGGGGGGGCAATGGGGCGGACAACCCCCCCCCCCCCCCCCCCCGCACACTCTTAGGGCCGGGGGGCGGTGCCCTGTATCCCTTGGGCACCGCCGGCCAGTGTTCGCCCTGCCCAGTGGCGACTGTTTCAGGGAGGGGGGGGGGGGGGTGCAAAGCACATGCCCCTCCCCCAGGTTGGTATGCCCATGCACCAGGTTTTCGACGCACATAATCGACGCAAGTGATAGTAAGTAATTGGCCACGAACGCGAAACCAAATATTCGTCGACGTTGTTGGTATCGGAATGCGAACCCTCCAAGCTTCCACTAGGCTTTTTACGCACATGACCGAACTGGTTCGCAAGTGATGGTAAGTGATTGGCCTCGAACGCGAAACCGAATATGCGTCGACGGATTGATTGTTACCGAGCGCATACGTCCGAGCGACGCAGTGCTCGTGTCAAATACGTGAGCTGGGTTCGGCTGACGCGTGCATGGACTACGAATGCGTCACAGTGAAAGGCGAAGCTCAGAGCTGTTTAGACTGAGAGAGTTTGGCTTAAGGAGATTTAGATAGCGTGGCAACCACAGCAGCGTAGCGTGACACCCGGGGGAGGATTACTTCCGTCCGCCATTTTGTGGCTGTGACTCGTAGGAACTTTGCGATTTCTCAGAAATAAACAAGACAAAGAAGTAATGCCATTTTGTGTTATCGTGAAATCCGCTGGTTCTAGCAGGCATCAAGCTCCGCCCATCGGCCAAACCTTCGGCTCTGGCGGAGCGCTTTTCGAAAGGGGGTGTGAAAAATAGCCAACTTTTATTTTCGAAATTTCCTACCTAAAACAGGTTTTGGGCTCTATACCTCGTCACTGATGTGATTGCTGCGCCAAACTGCTTACCCTGCTACATCCTGCTACATGTCGACAACATGTGATGAATTTTCGCCGAAGTTGCGCCAGAACGTAATTTTACTTAATTTATATTAAAAATGTAGCTGAAGACCCACTACACGGCGGGATCGTTACGGTAGGCTTGTCCGAATTTTCAGAACTTTCGATCATCGCCTTGAGTAACGTATTACTCGATTGAATCTCTGTACCAAACAATAACAAAACTGGGTGGGTAAGATAGCTCCGTTGAGTGCGCTTCTCACCGCCTACCGATGCACTGCAGTGAAGCGAAAACCGCAGAGTAGGCATCGCGATGTTTTGTCACAGAGTTATTATAATGTACGCTAGAGGTTCAACTGGCGCTAGTGTCTATGCGACTTCCGTGAGGCAAATTGAAGCAGACAGCAACCAGTCTACTTTTGCGGTGCTCCTGTGCATTCCTATGGGAAAACGCGCGTGCATTTTGACTCTTCGCCGGAAAGTAACTGAAACACCTGTTATTTGGGTCGTACCGAATAGTATGCACCTTTATTAACATTGTAAAAGCATACTTGCTTTAGTTAGCGCATTTTTCTTCATCAATGAACGATGTTTAACTTCGCTATATTTCAAGCACAAACTTCTATTCCGCAGCAGGTGTGTAAAACTAAAAAGAAGCAACGATTCTAAGCAAAATAATAATAGAAAGGAATTCAGAGCGTGTTCAAAGCTCGTCAGCATTCCGGTGACGCTTATATATTGCCCATATGCCCGTCTTGTCAGTATATAAAAATGACCCCTTCTTGCATCTCTACGAGCGGTTAAAAACATTCAAAACGTAAAGAACAAAGTACATACGTGCGGGTATGAAAAGTGTCTCTCTGCGGGCAGTCTTTATCGGGCCCTTTTTATTAAAGATTTCGAGCGTGCGGGTGATGGTCTGAACGTAGAACAGGCATATTCGCACAGAACAGAAAGAAGAAACCAGTGTTTATTGAAAATCTGACTATATTACCTGGCCTTAC